CCCGTCTCCCCCAATCCAGCCACTGCTGAAACTGACCAGCAGTCCCCTGCCCCAGGCATCCCCAAGAGCAGCTGAGGTGCTGCCGGGTTGGTCCCGCAGCCCCGAGGGGCAGCACTACGAGACCAACCCGGCAGCACCCCAGCTGCTCTGCTCCCGGCTTCCCCAATTCAGCTGCTGGTCAGTTTCAGCAGCAGCTGAATGGGGGAATCCTGTCCGGCTGCCCCAGCACTTCCGGGTTCCTGATGGTGCCGGACCATCAGGAGTCCCGGAGCATTGGATGCCGGACTAATGGAGTTTTACTGTACATGTTTATTTAATTTTCCACTGTATTTACAAAATTAGTGATTAAAATGAATAATGTTTTCTCTGAAAGAAATATTAAAATGGAGCAATTAAGATGACAGCAAAACAGTTGATGAGGCATTCTCATGCCATAATGATAGGAATGTGAAGCAGTCATGTGATCTGGTGAGGTGAACCTTTATTTAAGTTCTAATTAAAAAGAAAACATATCTAAAACCTATACAGTATGATCCATACATATTCTATCATTATTGATCAAGCCCATTAATAAAATTCAAATTATAATCTTGTAAAATAATTCTACATGAACATTATTCAAGAGGAGGTAGCATGTGTCACACAGACTTTTAAAAGCATGTCGTATTCTTAAAGATAATGGAAAATGTTCCATTATTTGGCACTCATTGGGACCTCTTTGGTCATGTGGTATGAATTTACCTTGTAAATTTGTGTTGTGGCTATACATACAAAATTAAGCTACGTGTAAATTCTCTCCTTGTGAAGTTAACTGCCTTCAAAATGTTTGAAGGATGTAAACTCTAAGGTGGACAAATATATTTAGAGCATGGTAGGAGAAAGAAAAGAAAAATAATTCTACTTTGTGGTCTAACAAAGGTAAATGGATGGACTAGATGACCTAATCTTTCTTCTGTATCACTAATCTTGGTGGGATTGGTCTAAAGTTCATTGATAGCACTGGGCTTTGGACCAAGGCCTCTAACTATTAATGTTATCTTTTTTTGTTGTTTTTCTGATGCCGTCTCCCCTCCCCCCCCAAAAAAAAATGGCAGGGCAGCACGGAAACATACTGTCAGCCTTTAATTCAGGCACGAGTAAGATTTTTTATTTTATTTTTGTAGTCCTGTATATATCAGATTATGTTATCTCATTTAATTGATTTCAAAATTCATAAGTGGACAATTACTTTTTTTTAAGGACAAGTTACATCCAAGAAATCTGATCCCAGAGCTCTGTAAGCAGTTCTATCATTTAGGTTGGGTCACAGGAACTGGTGGAGGAATCAGTTTGAAATATGGGTAAGTGGTCGTTTTGAAAATGATAACAATACAGATGATGGGGTCAATTGAATAAACAGTGAGTGCACTACAATGCATGAAGAATAGCTGAATTACAAGAATGAGGTTTTCTACAAAGATGTTTTGCAAAGATGACATTCTTGGTCTCTGAGAAGGAAGGGATAATTCTTATATTTAGATAAGTCCTGAAGACATATTAATGGAAGATAATTTAGGTAGATCAGGTAACAAGAAGACATGCAGTTAATTAATTTTGGGGTGTATGCAATACTAAAGAGTATAGAAGTAGGGACTGTTTTGCTACATAATTGTACATGAAATGTACCATCATTTCTTCAGTTCAATAAATTTAAAGTTATTAATGGATACAGAGCTCCTCTTAGTGGCCATTGAAAGAATGAACCATTAGTCATAATTACACCAAAGATGCCATTTAGCAGTAGCGGAAGACAAACTTGGTCTGAAGTTACAAAGTAGTGAAACGTCTCATGCATGTAATTATGCTGCTATTCAAGCATATGTAGAGCCCTGTGTGGATACAAAATTTGTATCCACATCTTCAGCTGCAAAAATGAGGATATCCACAGATATAAAGTAGATCTTCACAGATTTGCAAGTTATATATATCCCCATCTGTATCCTCATAAATGAGTTGAGAATATCTGCATCCACATTCGTGGATGCGGAGAGGAGAGGATGGAAGTTGATAAAGTATGGGTAAGATCAGATGAGAAACAATCAAATGAAAAAGAGCCTAACGCTTCAGGAAATGGCAGACAGATAAATAATAAATTTTTAAAGAGCTTATACACAAACGCTAGAAGTCTGGTAGGCTCTTAATACAATTTAAAAGGATAAAGCGCAGCGGGGCAACCCACTGGGAACTGGGAATCAGCTGTCCTGACTCACGCTGGATTTTCCCCCCCCCCCCCACTGTGCTTCTGATTTTTAAATGTATTAAGAGCTATCCTGTCCCTGCTACTCCCCTGCCTCCCCTGTTGCCTGTGGAGACTGTGCTGGTGGAAACCAGCTTTTAAGCTGGTATCCCCTAGCACTGGCTCCTGCTCCTCTATCCTTACTGCCTCTATTAGAGACAGCAAGGTGGGGGAGAAGTGACTAGTTGAGGGACTAGTCAACTATCTGATAAGCTTTTGCTTTTTGGATAGTCGACTAGTCACTTACATCCCTAGTTTAAAACAAACACAAGGAAATATTTCTTCATGGAGTGCATGGTCAACCTGTGGACCTCCTTTCCAGAGGATTTGTAAAGATCAGGACTTTAACAGGGTTCAAAAAAGAACTAGATAAATTCATGGAGGCTATTAACCAGGATGGGTAGGAATGATGTCCCTAGCCTCTGTTGGTCAGAGACTGAAAATGGATGATAGTAGAGGGATCAGGTGATAACGTATTCTTTTCACTTCCTCTGGGGCATCTGGCAGTGGCCACTGTTGGAAGACAGGATACTGGGCTAGATGGACCTTTGGTCTGACCCACTGTAGCCATTCTTATCAGTGAATTAAACTAATTAGTGTTAATGCATTAGTAGTGCAAATAAGTAATCCATTAAAACCACTTTTTTATTTTGCATACAGGATGTGTTTTGTCAAGATAATATACTATCTTGAAAGTTATATCACAATTCAAGGATTCTGTCTAGTCCATAAATGTGAGCACCTTACTTTCCTTAGGAAACTAATACATTTCCTGCAATTTCAGCATAAAGACTGTATCTGTAGCTTTTCAAATTGTTCACTAGGTGTCTCTGTACTATAGATTTTAAAATAAGGCCTTTGAACGTGAATAGTGATTACAAATATTAACTGACATTTTATCCCCTTTTTATGGCCTTTCTGAAAATATTTCACTTCCTGTTTTTAAATCATTTTAATTAATGTAAAGATCTTGAAATTCTTCATGAGCCTTGCAAGCTTTAGGCATTTGCACTTGAACATAAATTGTTCAATTTATTGAATTGTTCAATGTTTTTTCCTGTGCCAATTACATATTTATTCATGCTTTAAAACATATAATACAATGTAATGGTCATCACACAAATAAGTGTTTCTCAATAACTAACTGTGATTACAGACACTGTGGGCTGATTGATATTAAGCTATGAATGATAAGTTCAGCACTATTTTTTCTTGCATCACTCATTGTCTGCTTCCAATTTCTCTTCTGTGTCAGTTTGATTCCAGTTAATGGGAGGTGTAGATTTTTTATTTTTTTCCTGTCAGTGATACACATATACTCCAGTTAAATTTTCAGGGAAGTTAAAAGTACTCTCTATATCTTAGGTATTCTCAGAGCTTCCAACTACTCTAGTAAAATCAGTGTCACATATTGAAAATCATCTGTATGTGAATGTGTGGCATGAGGACAACTGATTGCATTATCATGCGCACTGTAAGCTAATTCTTTATCAGTAAAGGGTAGAGTACTGAAATGGCTCTAACAATGTACTTCAAATTGTATCTTATACATGGAGCTAAATTCTATATTTTTTCCTAGAGATGAAATCTACATTGCTCCATCAGGAGTCCAAAAAGAAAGAATTCAGGTTTGTAAAGCTTTTTTTCCCCCTCAGAATTTCTTTGAAAAGGAACAAAATTACTTTTAGGGTATGTTTAGACTACAGAGCTTTTCCAGGATACCTCGGGTATTCCGGCAAAGCTCTGCCACGTCCAAGGAACACATCTGTTTTTCCAAAAAAAATTCGGAAAAGGAGACGCGTTTTTTCAGCATCCCTGTACACCTCATTTTATGAGGAAGAAGGGATGTTCTGAAAGATGGTTTTTCCCCCCCAACATTTGGCCCCAAGTAGATGGGCCAAATGTCAGAAAAGTCTCTTCTGAAAGAAAAGCGGAAAAAGATACGCAAATTGCGGTTTGTAATTTGTACAAGATGCTAGCCCCAGCACTGCCCCTTCCACCTGAAGCCCTGCCCTTTCGGGGGGGGGGGGGGGGGAGGAGTTGGAGTGGAGAGAAGGTTCTTATTGTCAAGTCTGAGAAATCTTATTATTACTGACTTCTTTCTTGTATTATGTGTTCTCAGAGCAGAAATTCAGTACTTGTTCAGTGGTGTATGTAGGTTATTCCTTTTGAGTTTTCTTGTTCTAAATTAGAACTGACCACAAAGTCTGAATCTACAACAGCCCCAGATTTCAACAACCCAACAGTCAGCTGGTATGCACAGTTTCAATTAATACATACAAGCAGTTGGGTAACTGTGTGTTAAAGCGTCTATTCTAAATATATTTATTTGTTTTTATGCAAATCTTTCTTCCTCTTGGGCTTTACTATGGACAGTTAGGATCTGCCCAGGACATGATGACCTTAGTCTATTTCAGTTCCTTTCTCTTAGGAATAAAAACAGCAATACTGCTAGAGGTGAATAGTGAATACTGTCAGCTGATATGTGATACTTTTCTTCTTTGGAGGAGAAAAGTAAGTGGAGCAAGGAGTCCCTGCTCTACAACATCTGAGATAATACAGTAAGGCTATGTCTGCATTGCCCAGTCTTGTGCAAGAACATATGCAAATGAGCTGCCATTTTTGCGCAAGGGGTTTTTGCACAAGAAGGAGCAGTGTAGACTGCTCCTTCTTGCACAAAATGGCAGCTCATTAAGTATGCAAATGAGGCATGGCAATAAATATGTTCATTTGCATATGTTCTTGCACAAGACTGGGCAATGTAGACTTAGCCTAAAGGTTGATTGAGGGATCCTCTTACTGATTAAGACTTGAGTTTTCATATTATAATAATAATAATAATAATTAAATGTATTTGCAGAAGAAGAGAGGGAAGAAAGATACATTTTGGCATGTGCATAATTGATTTTAGATAAAAAACTTTTTGTGCTCTCATGGACAAATTGTTCAAGAATTTTAGTGAAAAAATCTAGTTTATGTAGAGCTGCCAAAAGCAAGCCTGTTTTCTAGGTAGATCCCCAGAAGAAAAGTAAATTTATTTTAGGAAATAGTGTCACAATTTAAGTAGTTCTATTTCGGTCACAGCCTGAAGATATGTTTGTTTGTGACATAGAAGAACGGGACATCAGTGGTCCTCCAGCACACAAGAAACTGAAGAAAAGCCAGTGTACGCCTCTTTTTATGAATGCTTACACCATGAGAGGTATGCAATAAATGCATTTGATTCAAATAATAATAATTAAATACCAATCAGTTCACGAAATGAAAACTTCTAAGTCATAAATGTGGCCTCACAGGAATTTAATATTGCCTTAATTGAAAAAATACCATAGTAGCTAAATTTGTAACCTCCTAGTGACCACCTAGTAGTTTAATGCCAATAGATTTCAGGCCATATTATAATCTTTTGCATATGTAAAGGTTACCAAATTACTAGTTACACAGGTATAAGAAATATGTAAAACTGTTAGATTCTAAAACATTGACAGACTATTTCTCTACTTTAAAATCTAATATATAAAGGAAAATGTTTGTATGTTTGTGCTCTAATAACTTGGACACCTTTGCATGGGATACCCGTTCCTCCAGGAGAAGGTTTTAAGGTACTGTGGGAGGGAAGAGATGAGAGACCGACGCCTCTCCCCGGGGTTGCATGGAGCTTGGCAGTGTGGAGAGAAGCAGCTTCCCAGGGTAAGCGGTGGGGACAGTCACTCACTAAGGCTGGTGGAGGGACAAGGAAACGGCGAACGGCTCCCTTCCGCCTCCCTCCCCTCAGGCTTCTCACCTCAGTTATATCAACTTTCCCGAGCAACACCGGGTAACTCCAGCTACTTATAAATGTTTTGCAAAACAAAACTTTTCCTTTTTCTCCAATTATGGTGCATGCCAAGTCAGGAGTTTAGGATTCTGTTTCTCTTGCATATGTTGATTACAGAAATAGTACAGAGAGTACAACTTTCACAATTGTTTGCTACATTAAGTGGAGGCAGCATGTCCCCATGTCAAATCTTTCTGAGAAAAACACATATGAGATCTAGTAATGGGCATGACATTTCAAGCATTACTGCAATAAATGTGGAGGTCCTTTTTGTCTTTCTACTGTTTCTGTGCAATTCATCCTAATGAAAAAAGGCAGTGCGATCCCTTTATCTAATGCCTCTGATTCCATTTAAAATGCATTTTAACTTTCAAAGTGTGTATTCACACTTCAGCAGTTTAATTTTATGGCGTTTAACTTTAACAGTAGCTTAAGTTTTTATGCAGTTTTACAAGTTGTGTCTTTGTCCTCCTCTCCTCTCCTCCCCCAAAAATAAAGATTTTTGGGAATCTATTGTTTTCATGTAAAGGAAATTTGCACATCTAGACCCTTTGCATATCCAAAAGAAAATTGGCAATTTGCAACATTGCAGATTTAGGAACTTTTGATCCCTGTGGTTGACCTTCCCACCACATCATAATATAAAAATGAAATGATTGAAAGTGATGTCAAGGAACCAATGTATCGTCTCCAGAGAGAAATAGCTATATAACAAAAGAACCTCTTCTTCTCTTCCATCTTCTGCCATAAATAAGTCTAAATTTTAATTGTTTAGAACCTCAGCGCACTTCAGTGATGTATTTAAAATGTTTGTCATCTCAACAGATGAAAATATAAAACAGATGCATGAGGGAGAAGGTTTGCCTGGAATTTGCATTAAAACTAGCCACTAACACCCTAAAGATAGCTCTTACTATTCTTTGTAGATTACAGAATACTTTTGGTTGCTCTAAAACAATGTTTCCCAAATAGTGCTCTGCAGAACCCCAGGGTTCCGCAAAGTGAAAATAAGGATTCCTCGATAACCCAATCACCCCCTTCTCCCCCACCGAGCCAGTCTTAGGGGCAGGTGAGCCGGGAGCCATTTTCAAGGGCCGGTGTGGGTTTTGTTTGTTTTTTGCTTGACAGTTTTTCCACTTTTGTTGTTGTTTTTTACCACTTTTCCCCTCAGCGTGTTTTTTTTTTTAAGGGGTTTTGTGACCAAATAAAATTGGGAAAAACAGTTCTAAAGCTCTAAAACTATTTTCCTCGTCTAATCCATTGACAAGGATGTCGAACTGAAGGGCTGAAACTTATTTTCACATGTGAATTTATCTTAACAGATGGTAAGGAGTCATATAAAAAATAATATAGATAAATGTAATATTAATTACAGAGGATCACTTTTTCTTCTCTCTCTAGGAGCTGGAGCTGTGATCCATACTCATTCAAAAGCTGCTGTCATGGCAACCCTTCTCTATCCAGGAAGTGAGTTCAGAATTACTCATCAAGAAATGATAAAAGGAATCAAGAAATGCACATCAGGAGGGTATTACAGGTAGATTTCCATTTACAAAACTAATCCAGCATATACTGTTTCTGCTAAATGTTATCTTCAAAAATATCAGTGTGTTTGGTGGTGTGAGCAATACTTGTAATTAACTCAGAGGAATATTCACTAAGGGCCGCAGACCAGGCCACTGCTTTCTGCAGCTCCCTTTGTCCAAGAACAGCGATCCACAGCCAGTGGGAGCTGTAAGAGGCTGTACCCACGGACACACCATCAAATAAAGTGTCTGGTGGCCCACTAAGGCTAACCCTGAAAAATTGCTTGTTGCCCACCCCTCCCCTAAACATGATGAAAAGAGAGACCGCAATGATTAAAGTTTAAAAAGTAGCAAGAGCTCTGTAACAACTCAGTCATTGAGTTCCCCAAAAAAGGTACAAAATTATTTTATAGTTTGTGGGTGGCTTTTTGTGGGGATTCTTTCCTGCAAAGCATTAAGCTGGTACTAGCACACTCAGATGGTGTATGACAAGATGAGAAATTATGGGATGCTAGAGATACATACATCTGCACTTTTCTTAGTGTTAATTTTTATAATTTTCTAACTAATATTTTTCTCCAAAACTTTTGGAAAGGTACAAATGTATTGAAGTTTGCATTTGATACAAGGGTGTATTCTCCACACAAAGATGGCACCTTCACCAAAATTTTAACTTCTGTTTGCACTAGTATTTTAATTTTTAATGTATAGCAGAAGCACCTTAGAGCACTGGATAGTCATTTTTTAATCTAGAAATGTGTATAAAAACATTTTTAAGTTACACCACAAGAAAAGGCAATTTTTTAATTCACTTTTCAGCAGAGCTGTGTTTCTGGATATTGTCTTCTGATGGCTGTTCAGGTAAATATTAGTGATGGAATTTTCAAACTATTTATTATTGGTCTAAATCTGATCTCACCGAAGTCAGCCTTTGACTTAGTGGAAGCAGAGTGAGGCCACCGATAAACAGTTTTGAAAATCCCTAATCCTGAATTATCCTAGGACATTTTTTTTTAAAGTAGCCTGAATCTGGTGTGTCTGTTTTTCCTCTAATAATAAAATACTCAGCTCTTTTGTATACCATTATTCATCTAAGAATCTTAAGGAGCTTTATAGACCTTAATTCTCGCAGACAACTGTCTGAAACAGATACGTTGTTTCATAGAAGAAGGCACAAAGAGGTGTTATGACTTATCTAAATCAAACAGACTGTGGCAGAGCTAGAACTAGAACCTGGGAGACCTGGCTCCCAATTGTCTGTTCTAACTTCTAGCAAATAGTCCCGTTCCAGTTTTAGTTTCCACACTGCATGTGAGTAGTAGGTGATCTCGCTAACATTGCTACAGAGGTTTTATTCATTAGGTTGTAGAATGTTTTGGGGTGGCTTCATCACAGAAGTCCGGATAGAGCCAGATTCTCTCTCTGAATAAAAATATTTAATTAGATTTACCTTTTTCCAGCATTGCTTCATCTATATAATTTGGCTCCATTTTTTTGAAGATGTTTTCCCACCATCTACTCAAAATTCCTGTATGATCTTTATGATGAATCTGAATTTGAGCTAAGATTTAAACAAGTTTCTGCAAATATTAATTAAAGCTTGAACAATGCCAAATATCCAAAACCCTCTTTGCTACACATTATTGTGCAAGTTCTGAACAGTGTACAGCATGTTGCCTGTATTGCAGTGGTACTCAAACCACTGTCTGTGTATTGTATGTGATCCATTGAAGACTTTTACCACAATAGAAAAGCATCTTTAGTTCATCAAGCACTGACAATTACGTCTACCAGTATCCCGGGACAAGACTCTTTCAGGGTTTCCAAAGTCTTTCAGACCAGGCAAATTTAGATATTTTAATCCTGAGGGACAAATTCATATCTTTCTTTAAGTAAATTCAGCTATGATCAAGATGGTAAATGTTGCCAATATTGGAGGGATGACTTAATGCAGAAAAGGACAGACCAAAACTGTGAAGCAGCTCGCATTGATGAAAGCAGTAAAGGCAAGCAATGAAAGGAGATTTAGTGCCAAGAAAAGTAGATTACTAAAGCCAAGGAGAGAGAATAAACATCAGCTACAAAATAATATGTAAGCAGGTAGTTATACCAAGTCCGCTTTTTTTTTGTCCTATTCAGGTATTCTCAGGATACGGTAGCCAGCATTATAGTATTCACAGAGAAGGTGTTGAATCAGATTTGGGACAGGAAGTGTCCTTCAGAGGCTGTATCCCATGGCATGGTTCACAAGATGAAAGAGTTTGAGAATCACTGTTAAAGATGTTACCAAATTCTTTGCCAAGGAGAACCTCTTTGAGTGGGGAAAGCTTAGGGCACTAGTTCTTAGATGTGGAAGAGAATTATGATATCATCTAAGGTATGTAAGAGCAGGAACAGAGTAATGTGATAAAAACCAATGAAGTCTAAAGTGTTTTCTAATTGCAGTAATACCTCATTTTTTGTTTAGATATGATGATAAGTTAGTGGTCCCCATTGTTGAGAACACCCCAGAAGAGAAGGATCTCAAGGAACGAATGGCACACGCAATGAATGAATACCCAGACTCTTGTGCTGTGTTGGTCAGACGTCATGGAGTTTATGTATGGGGAGAAACGTGGGAAAAAGCCAAAACAATGTGAGTGCAATTTAAAGATGGTCATATCTGTTGCAACAGCAGTCCTGAAATAGTCATGGAAGTAGAATCACTGCATATGCATTCTAGTTGATACTTCTCTCTCTTGGCTCACACCACCACAAATGGGAATCTATTCCCCCTCCTCCCCCCGCCCCAGTTGGGCAGCACACTGTGTGCACAACACAGCCTTGAAAATCCTCCCCTACCAGAGACTTTAATATGGAGGTGGAGTGAATATTGTAATAAAGCAATAGCAGAAGTGTTCTGTCTGACCTGTGCTCAGCATAGAAAAGAAAAACAGTCAATTTTTAAAAGATGCCACTTCATAAGAATGCATCCTAACTCCACTTTTCTCCTGTTCTATTTTTTTATTGAAGGTGCGAATGTTATGATTACCTGTTCGATATCGCAGTACAGATGAAGCTGCATGGACTAGATCCTGGAAAACATCCAATTGAAGAAAACGGGATTGTATAAATTACTACAGCAGTTCAATATCCCCACCCATCCAAAACTGCAACAAAAGTGGAAGTGATTTGTCAACCTTCAAGCATTTATAATTGAGTGCCCTTCTAGTAGAGCATGCTTTATGTCTATCAATAGGTGAATTATATCTAAAGTGTTTAATAATAGCAGATGGGGGGAAACAGCCCCTGATCCATGCAAGCAGACCCATTTACTTATGTACACAGCTCAAGTGCAGGATCAGGGTCATGCTTAGCAATCATGGTGTAGAGATTCCCTCCCTTCCCACCACCCGTCAGTAGCAGTTGTTGAATGCTGTTTGATTAATTTCAGCAGCCGTGATGTCACTTTTGTACTTGGACAGAAGAACTGCAGTGGTTTTGGCTCCATATTGCCGAGAAGTCAGTGATTAATAGTAGTTGAAATTATCTGTCTGAAAATGAAATGTCAGATTTTAACGATCAGATTATTATTTTTGTAACTGTTTAAATAAACACATTAAATTAGTATCTGTTTTAAACAAAAGAAAGGAATTCAGAGCAGAAGCCTTAATTTCACCTCAATGTGCCTGACCGATACCGCAGCATATACATAAGTACACATAGCCTCACTATAGAGTCAGTTGTTCTCCCATCTCTCAGAGGAATCAGGTTGTGCTGCGCAGTTAGTATGGAGGAGCCAGCCTGCGGGCTGTTAAGCCAGCAGCAGTTTACTAGTTATTCAGTGTTCATGCCCACCATTGTGCCTGCTCCTGTGTTACCTTGTTTCTGCTGGTCCTGCCTTGCACCCAGCCTTGCCTCTGTTCTACCGCTGTTTGGCTGCTACCCTGTGCACTCCAGTTTCTGACCTTGGACTTGCACTTTGGCTCTGGCTTCTGACTGCTGACTCCTAACTTGACCATTAGCTCTGGTATCTAGCTCAACCTTCACCATGACTTTTGGCTCCAGCTTCATAATTGCCTTGAAGGACAACATAAATCTAGGTCATCTAAAGGGATATGTACTAAACTCAGACTCATGTCTGTCTTGAGACAAGATCCAAACTTAAGCTTAAAGTCAGAGACTGAAGAAACAAACGGGACAGACACAAAGACAGTCTTTAATAAACACATTTCTGTATTTATGTAGAATCAATATTTAGGCAGCTTGTAACTTCTCTAGAATCAGTAGTTTTACCTAAAAAAAAAATCCAATTGTAGCATTGTATAATTGAAAGAGAAAAATCTCCACAATAGTGTCTGAGCAGAAACTGATTGTAGCACTTAGGGTATGTTTACACGGCAATTACACACCTGTGGTTGACCCTGCCAGCTGACGGGTTCATGGGGCTCAGATTGTGGGTCTGTATAGAGTTCAGACTCTGGGACCCTCCAACCTTGCTGGGTCCTAGAGCACAGACGTTTACAACTACATTACATAATTGCGGTGTCAGTCTAAGGACACTAGGGAGATGAGGCAGTTGAGGTAATATATTTTACTGGACCGGCTTCCGGTGGTGAAAAAGAGAAGCTGTTGAGCCACGCAGAGCTGTTTGGGGAAGATATTCCCATCATCAAAGTAAGATGAAACAGATGCTGAACATAAGCAGTTAGCACATATAGTAAGGGATAGGAATGTAATAATGTAGTCGATTAACCAATAAGCAAAAGCTTATAGGTTAATGCTGTAGACTACACACATTTCTCTCCCTCCACCTGCTGACAGTAAATTTTTTAGCAGGCTGACCAGCAGTTCAGCTCAGTCCTGGCTCATGCCAAGTCTGGGAGCTCAGACCTTCTTCCCCACCCACCCCCAGACAGGGGCTGCTGCCATCCTGTGCTCCTGCCTCATTATCAGAGGCAGCAGCACTGGACAGCAGGCAGCTTGTCTGCAAGGGGAGCTGGTTATTAAACTGGCTCCCCTTGTAGACCAGGTCTTGCCTGGCACCCTGCCCTGATGCCTCTGATACAGTGGCTGCTAGCCCCAATCCAGGGAGGTATAGAATTGTTGACTAACCAATAAGAATCCATGAGGTTACTCGATTATTCAGTTAACCGATATTTAACATCCCTAGAAAGGGACCAACACCAAGATACCTGTTCTTGGAAATCCAGGTGATGTTCAAAGATTCCAGGGCCTATGTTTAGAAAAAACCTTTAACTGAATTAGTGGTTTCACATCAATATTAAAATCCCTTTTACTATTTATTGTACTTTAATAACTTGTTTAGAATATCTTTGCCTTTGTCCTGCCTCTCCTACATAGATTTGAGTGTTCTAATCCTCCATCTAAATCTCAGAATCTGCTTCACACAATCCAGACCAGAAGAGGACGTTACTCCACTCATTTGACATCTGGGTTTTACCAATTATTTTTACAAACATTTTGGAAGGAAAGGAGGGAGATTGCTATGAGTGAATATCTTCCAAAAAAATCACTTTAATTTTTTCATTGGCAGGTGGAATATTTAAAAAACTCAGTGAGAAATTGCAGTGAAAAAAAATCAAACTTTTTGTTGTTACAATTTCACAACCACATAATGCTTTTATTATTTAATACGGTGGTGATGTGATGTGGAAAACCAGAGCTGGCGATTTCTTTTGTACTGCTGCAAATACATACACACTAATAGTCTTTACTATAATTTTAATTTCTTCTTCTTCTACAATTTATCTCTATGTTGAGAGGATTATTAGTTGTTATTTTTGCCATCATATTGCCTGCTCTTGCTCACAAAAGAGCAGATTGTTTTTGTCAGACTTGGATGTTTATTTTTGAAAAATCAGTAACAAAGATAAGATGGAAATGATAAGATCTTTGGGCAACAGTTCAGTCTCTTGTGGAAAAAGTAGAGACTATCGTAAGTGAAGGAGTAACGTATTTTAATTGTGATGTCTTATGTTGTGAGATTTCATTTTTTTCTAATCTGCTTCTGGATATTTAGCTGTGTACTGATTATGAATCAATTTCTGCAAGGTCATTCTGTTAATAGTTGTCTGACACTCCAGATGAATATTTCAGTATCAGTTGACAGAATCTATACCACTGGACTTCATTCTTTCTCTAAAAAGTTGCAGAATTCAAGGGTTAGATATGAAGCCTGAAGCACCAGTTAAACTGCTAATTTGTTTTTTGTTTTTTTAAAGCCTATACCTGATCTTTGATTTTCTCGTGAACTAAGAGAAATCAAACATAATCCATAGCTTGTCTTTGGAAATTCATTACTACAACACTGATAGTCTGTTTTAATTTTTCTTTCACAAAGATATTGAATAAGATCTTGTGAAAGACCATTAGAATTTTCAAAAAACCTTGATAGCTGTCTGACCATAGATAACCATGGTAAAATTTCAACAAATGTCATGATTCAGGATATAAATAATGTCATGGGTCAAAAACATGGAATACTGTATTTCAGTGAATAGTACTGCATTTTATTATCTTCCACTATAAACCCCTCCAGCGCATTATCAACAATCTGGGAAATTAGGAAAATGACCCCTCACTCTCAGAGGCCTTGGGGGAAAGGCCAGTTTTCACCTACAGCCAACCCCCTACCCTCAGACAAATAACCATGCAACACACCTCCATCATAATCATCTGAGAACCCAGCCCTGCAATCAGCCTCTGTGCCAGTTCTGTCCACACATCTACACAAGCGATTTCATCACTGGACCCAACCATATTAGCCACCAAATCAGAGGCTCATTTAATTGCTCATTCGCTATGTGGTCTATGCCAGCAGTGCCCCCACTGCAATGTATATTGGCCAAACTGGACAGTCTACAGGAAAGAATTGATGGACACAAATCAGATATCCGAAAAGCAATACACAGAAACCTGTTGGAGAACACTTTAATCTGCCTGGACACTCATTAATGGCTCTCCAAGTCACCGTTTTCAGGCCATTTCTATCAGCCAAATAGACAGAAGGGTTGGAACTTTCATCATTCACAAGTTTAATTCTTATGCACATGGTATGAACCAGGATATCAGTTGGCTCTCACGCTGTCTTCTACATCCTAATGACTTAGCCAATCAAGCTAACAACGGAGATGCTAATTGTTCTTATGAGCCTCTTGTAACTATTTGAACTATCTACTCTGTCTCTTTTTCCTCCTCGTCCTCTTTTCTCCTCTTTCTCCTCTTCCTCTTCCTCTTTTCTCCTCTCTCTTCCCCCCCCCCCCCCCCCCCCCCTCCTTAGTGC